ACGAAATGTCGTTATTGTCTGACATTAGTAACTGGCTTTAAATTCTAAGTTAGCGATCCAGAACTAATACTAATTTTTGGTAAAGTAGACCAAAAATCGCAATTCAAATTGTGATGTGGAAAAATGGCGAACATTTGATTTCAAATTTTATGATTACGACATGACTCGTATACAGAAGTAAAAAACATGCAGGTGTTTATATTTGGACGAAGGCCACCATATAGTGGCCTTAGAAGAAGGTTAACTTTAATAACAGGCTCCGATGAAAAACTTCTGATTGCCAAACTTATGGAGGAGAGTGTATGTATGGAGATTTGAAAGTCACCCTTTGTCAAATGTAATCTCCATAATATCGTGACATAAAGTTGATTACTTCTTGACTGTGGAGAAACTTTTCTAATTAGTTGAAGAAGTGAATTCGCAATTCTCTCAGTTGTAATATAAACAGATTTAGAAAATAATTATTCTTTCTACAGCTATTATGATTTCGCTTTATAATAGGATTAGTAGACATGTAAGAAAATGTTACTAATTTCCGGTACACGTATCGCTGTGTATCGCTTGATTAAAACAACAAGACCCACACTTGTCCAAAATAAGTACTGATGACATTGGAAATTAATTTCGATTTTGTAAATATAAAGATTGATTGCACGTTTTGTTGTTTTGAGGGGTTTTTATTACCCTTTTTGCTGTCTCATAATCTTGTTCAGATGGTGGGTCTTTGAGTTGTTTCTAATTGTAGACTCTTTTTTGACGCACGTTGATATCTTTATTATATATCGGGGTGACTAAGATGAATGTAAATCGAGTAATAAAAAAGTTTTAACATAAATTCATCAAGAATTAATTTGATGTCCAGACAGAAATGACATATAATACTCTTTTCGAGCCACTATGATTTGATTTACTGATAAGGTTGTCTGTGGCCTGAAAGAGCGTTCTTTCAGCAGGCAGTTATCTAAAATGACGTATATGAAATGCATTGTTTACGTCACAATGAAAGGTCATTCTTTTAAATGCCATGGTTAACTGTTTTTCAATTCATGTTTCTTAACAATCACTCTGGATTGTTATGGAATTCTAAATAACAAGGAGTGTTTGACATATTGTAATAAAAGCAATCAATCATATACAATGCGTCTGCCTCGATGCGTCCACCAAGGATTCATCAGCGTTGTTCAAGTTTTAATGTCAAGGATTTCAAAGCTGTATAGATGAATGGTTCACAAATTGAGAAAGCTGCTACAAATTGTAAAATGATGACAGTGTAATCTGATTGTTTTATTATAACTCATAGTAATCCTTCTAATGGCTCTAATATATCATCACAATGTGATGTTATTTTCTTAAAGTTAAGTCGAACGTCGTAATTATTAGGCTAACCGTATTTTTATTTTCTGTTATTGTTTGTATTTGTTTATGAGAAAATTATATACCAGATCTGGAATATACTATTTATCTTATCAATTCCTAAGTTTATATTAATTTGGCCATCGGGGAGTCTTCAGTTGAGCACTTAATTAGCTTAATTAGCTAGATATAAGCATAATTAGCTTAATAAGCTTAATTAGCTAGATTAGCTAAATAAGGTACGACCATAATATAGCTAATTAGTACGATCACCTAATATAAAAACCTAATTAGCTTAATTACTCAGATGCGAGTAGGTAGTTACCAGTTTCGCCACCAGGTGGCTGATTCGGGGGAATTAACATGGCAGGGTATTACAAAATTCCCTTAAACTTGAATATGCATCAGTTTTAATGGTTCACTTTTCATATTACCTTTATGTATCTGATAGTTATACAAATTAGAATATGTCCAGTAAAAGAAATATTATCTGCCCAACACAAGAAAAGATATTTCACTTTTTGTGGTTTTACAACATGGGCTCTATGGGGAATCTCCCCGACCTAGAAATCACATTTTCAAAGAAAATTAAATTTTCAAAGTTGATAAACTCTTTTCAAAACCACATTTCAAAATGTATTTTACATGTAGATTCCAAATATGACATCAGTTTGACTGAATTTTGAATTTTTAATGACGTAAATCAAGATTATTTCTACTCGCATCTGGGATATTAAGTGCATACTCACTTACTTACAATTAAAAGTATTATAAAAAGATTAAGTGTGTAATAACAGGGAGGAGGGAGGGAAATAAAATAAAATAATCCTACCGCCCTATCAATGTATCTTACCCGGTTGGGAATTTAAAATGAATAGAATGTATTGTGGTGTGTCATGTGACACATGTTTTTGTACCAATAAATCCAAAAGGGGATTGATCAATTTAAACTAAAACACATTGGGGAGTGCCTACTTTGCACTAAACCCCGATTTGTGTAAACAGAATACTATTTATGTTAATCTCCACTTATGTAATTCTTCAATCATTGCGATATATACATCCCCTCAAAGTGATCAATTTTGTGGCACTCGGTTAAATACATTCAGTCCGAGGCCACGTGTAACCACGGAATGGCTCATTCCTGGTGATATCATCTTATGTGTGAGCCATCCTGCAGTAACACTTGGTCTTGCATGAACTAAAATAACCTTAGCCGACAAGTGAAATCAGGTCCAATAACCGAGGTTCTGAAAAGTCATGACAACTATTTTACTTTTTACGTTTTGGTGAATGTAAACAAAAGTGTTTTCTCCGCTAAGGCTTTTTAACCACTGTATCCACAGGTTTAAAATTGTTTACTGTACAAAGACTTGGCGCTGTAGTATCGCTTACCGAACTACATGTAGTTGCGAAACGTTATCTCCATTTTTACTGAAATGATATTAGATAAATTCCACGGATACCAAGTGCCGCGGAATGGATCTCTTGTAGAGGGTGTATCCATTGACGTATTTAATATTATTTCCAAGTTAAGAGTTAGTTTGACCTGTACGTGACGTACGTCGCCTTTTTGTTGGAAATGAGAGTAATGATGTCTTGTCTATTAAATGCATTGCGTGACTCCGTTTCTGTATCTGTGCCTCCCTTGGGGTATTCTCTAACCAATGCCATTGTCAATTTTATAATTTCAGAGGCTCACCATTATGCTTGCACAGCTGTAGGAGGTCTATAGTTCTATAATCAGTTTCCGTTATACTTGCAAAAAGGCATGTTCAGAATGAAATAAGTTTTAGTTTGATAGAAGTCTTGTGGGCGAAAAATGTAAAATACAAAGATCAATATGAGTATAGATTTACATTGCTTCAATACTATTAATTTTTCTAGAAAAATATCATCCAATGAATTTATGATCAATAGTGATTGAAAAAATGTGTTAGTATAGCGTGTGTTTATCTGCGAAAGAGGGCACTAAAGTGTCATTGTTTTATATACATTGGCGTACCACGTCTGCGTTGAACCCCATGTAAAACCAACTTAAATTTTTTCACAAAAAAACATAATTCAGATTCAGAGTGAAAAAATTGTGTAAAATGTAATTGTGCAAAATTGTGTAATATGTTCCAAAAAGATTAGAAAATTCATGCTTTTGATAACTCAATTAATCCGCCTAATTTAGCCCTAGTACCCTCAGGACGATGTGGAGACTGTCAGAATGCTACCATCTATTTTATCGGACAAATGCATTTAATGCCATTCCTTTATCTACTTTCCTACTGATACTTTCACACATATCTAGGCATGATGTATCACATCCAGCTAATCAGAACAGTATGTTTCGATATACTTTGCATTCTCTATTTTCAATAGATTAAAGGTGCATCAATTAGTGCAGAGGTGCCATTCAACGATCATGGACCAGTGTCAAAACATATTTAAGTTTGGATATTTCATTCAAGACTCACATATAATTTTGTTATCTACAAAGAAACCCCCTGGATGAACATTATTTGAGCTGATATTCCTCTTGAAACGTGGTTAATCTTAAAAATCTATAAGTGGGACTCCCTTTATATAAGCTTTGAACTGAATTTATACCTCTAAATGTTGAAATTGATAGTTTATACATACATTTTAAGAAAATAGGTATATCAAAGAAGTTGTTAAGCCAAATGTTGCCCTGATAGCTAAGAAAAAGTTTTAAAAAATCATATTTTCTCTCTACAGTCCTTGTTGCCCCTTTAATGTCCAGTTATGTAACTTTGTAACATTAACTAAATAGCTCAGAATTTGAACGTACATTTAACATCGTCCACTCACAATGCAAATTGGAAAGACTCTCCTTAAGATGAAAGCCATTGTCTTGTATGTAGTGTTTGCAGAGATATCAAATTGATTAAACCTACATATTCTGATAAATTACTAAGTTAGTATCACTGTTGCGGATTAATGGAAGAATGACAACCATTAACCTTATTATATCGAAATGTATCAGGGAAAACTTCATCTATATATTATATGCAAGTTATTTCGAGGGCAACACCGAGTTATTAAAACAAGAGGGAATTAACTGAGCATAATGAAATAACATATTTTCTTCTTGTCATAAATACCATTCAGTATTCTTAATATAATATAAAACATGAAACGATATATACGTATCAAACACAACTCAAATATAAATAGATGAATATGCAAAATGTAAAATGTAAAACCACTGCATTATATACAATTTTATGTTTGTATATAATTTAAATATTTATGTTTGATAAAGGCCTATATAAAACCACAAAAATAGATAAAATATTATGTATTTGTATTTTATACCATTATTTTATCATTTTGACATACTGCACCAGACTATGTAAAATCGTATGATTAATATTTATGATAATAATTGATTTTAAAGTTGAATTTGTTGTTTAATCCAATATCAGAGACAATATCATTCAAAATTGAAACAGCTAATACGGAACCATTATATCATACAGTATGATACACAATTATTCAAAATATATTCCAATTTAACTTGACACGTATACTTGTGTAATAAGACGGATGGTTCTCTAGTTCAATTATGCACAAAAATAATACTTGAATAATTCTTATTTACAGGAAATCATAAATGTATTGAAATGTTCTTCCAGATACTGGGCCGTTGTACATCCATTGAAACGCCGACTAACGCGGACACGTGCGAAGCAAGTCGTATTTCTGATTTGGACCGTATCATTCCTTCTTGCAATTGCGCAACTCATTGTTAGTCATACTAAGAACCGTACATTCAACAATACAACAATACAAGAGTGTAATGAATTCTGGCCGTCAGAACAAGCCAAGGCGGCATACGCGATGTTTGTCGTGGTATCAACATATTGTATCCCTTTGAGTGTATTGACTTTTACTTATTGGAGGATTGCCTCAACATTATGGAGTAGGATTCCACCTGGGAACAGAGATGAAATACGGGATGAGACACAACTCCGCTCAAAAAAGAGAGTATGTAGATTCACCCGTTGAAAAAATCTATCAATTTAGTATGTTATTAATGTAGCGGCATTCACCTATATCCTGTGCTTACAGTATTTTTCAAATGCATTATATTAAGATATAAGTATGGATTATATGACCGGTATATTTACAAGGATAATGCACTTGCAAACATTAAATACAGAAACGCAGGATTAAATATGGCCATTTCATATATACTTTATTACATTTCAATTACAATCCTGGGAAAATGATAAATGGGAAGGGATGGATTTCAAATGTAATACAAATAAGATATTACCTAACAAATAAACATTGCACTGATATACGTATAATATCAGAATCTTGATGTTCGAATTTTGATGTTCTTTATCATCTGGAACTCCCATTACTATTAATTACTTATCAAATTGGCATGATTTATCCGATTTGTGATCGCAAAATAAACCCATAAATAAGTCTACCTTATTGTATTTGTAATATATATCTACAAATTCAAATTTGTCAGATATACACTCCACTCCATACTTTTTGCAACTGGAAGTTTTCAATGGATACCATACCTAAGTCTGACAATGTTTGAAACTTCGTTTGTTCTTTAATTACAAGTGACGAAAATGATGGAGAATTTTATTAAATCTCAAAACGTAAATAGGCTTTGATAATTGATCGAAAGTTGTACTTCCGGTTACTTAAATTTTTGATGGGGGGGGAGTGTTTTTATATAGTAATCATACGCATGTTTTTTTTATTTGTAGATCGTTAAGATGTTAGTAACGATCGTGCTTGTATTCGGGATATGTTGGTTTCCACTCAATCTCTTCAATGCTAGTGTTGACTTATTTCCCAAACTACTCAATCAGATAACAACAGCTGAAGCTGAACGGGCATACCTAGCTATATTCTTCAGTTGTCATTGGCTGGCGATGTCGAATAGTTTCGCCAATCCAATCATCTATGGTTTTCTTAATGAGAGTTTTCGGGTATGTATGACCATGTTATAACAAATGAAATTCATGAAATGCTTTACTGTGTAACTTTTACCACCAATGGACTTAATATAATATGTTGCAAACATTATAAGTACCGAGTTTATTAATTTTTGGTTGCCTCCGTCGCCTAGTGGATAAAGCATCGGACTTCTAATACCAAGGTCCTGGGTTCAAACCCAGGTCTTGGCATGGATATCTGACGAATTATCCGCTATAACAGACAGGTGATCACTAGTGCTGCCGACTCGCTAAAACTTTATATTGTCCTAGCCAGGGTAAAATATACCATATCCTGTCAAAATAATACGGGAATCTGTGTCGACCTTACAAAGTACAGGGTGTTCAAAAAAAACGCAACCCAAAGAAATTGCTATATCTTGGAAAATACTAATGCAATTATGTTCATTTTTTCAGGAAAGAAAGAAGAGACTGTGTATGAATAGCTCCTGTAGTTGGTTAGTTATAAAACATGATGCCTTAGACACCTGCTCAAAAGACATTAGTATTAGAAAGATACAAAATACGAAGTCAGGGGAGACTGCCACAGCAAAAAACTGAATAACTTTCTCACCATAGTGTTTTAGCTCTTCAAATTTGGCACAAATCATCTTCATTCAAAGTATGGTAAATCTGTAGAGTGAAATCAAAATCACTCTAGGGACTTTGCAGTTAATAGTCGAAATGCGTTCAAAACACAGTCAAACGCCCTGGTTCAGTCAGACTTAAGAAGGTATTATGACCATGACTGTAAAGTCCCTGGAGTGATTTTGATGAAACTCCACAAATTCACCACACATTGAATGAAGATAATCTGTGCCAAATCTGAAGTGCCAAAACACTATGGTTAGAAAGTTAATCAGTTTTATTGCTGTGGCAGTCACCTTTGACTGCGTTTTTCGTATCTTTCTAATGCTAAGGTCTTTTGAGCAGGTGTCCAAGGCTTCATGTTTTACAACTAAATAACTACAGGAACTCTACATACACAGTCTCTTCTTTCTTTCCTGAAAAAATGAGTGCAACTGGATAAGTATTTTCCAAGATATAGCGATTTCTTTGGGTTGCGTTTTTTTTGAACACCCTGTATCAGGTTACAAAGTAGACAGCCAGGTTACAAGTTCAGATGGGGAAATTCAACCCTTAAAAATAGAATCTTTGCTACCACAGGCCGCAAATCGCCTAACAGCTTTAGTAACCATGAGGGGTAACTCCACCATTAAATGCCCCAATATAATTCAATTGAAAAACATTGAAATCTTCGGATGTATTATCGAAAAATAAAGATTTCAAATACGTAACTACATATACCAAGAGATAGCTCCAAATGTCAACCTAAGAAATATAAATGTCTCGAGAAAAAGAGCCACCAAAATCAGAAGATCAGACCACTTTTCCGCCATCAAATTCAAGACCAACGTCAAAAAAGTAAAACACTTGTAGTAAATCAAATAATTTCGTCATACTTTTTATAAAATTATATATACAAAAGATCCACAAAATAAAATGTAGAGTAATGTAAACATTTCAATTGGCGATTGCGCTCATAAAACTTGATTTCAATCAACCATCATCTCGATTTTAAATTTAGATTTTTTGTCTTCTACCTTTTCAACAGCAGAAACAGTGGAGTTATTTCTAAGGTATAGTAAGAGATTTTCTTGATCAAGGATAATTACAGATCTATGATAATTACAGAAAATATGTCCATATCAAAGTATCCTAAGGCCCCAAGAATTACATATAAGCTTATGATGAATAAGAAATATGAGAGATAAATTACAACCAGACTTGCGCATAGTGGACCTTTAGATATGCTATATTCAATAATGAGCTTAATGGTCATTGAAAATGTGAAGTTTTTTGCAATTACACATAGCTGTTTAAGTCCGTCATGATAAGTTGTTATCCATTATTCTTATAATATACAATATACATGAGGGTTATGTACTGGGAGGTTTTGGATACAGGGTTTATCCCAAGGGAAATATGTGTATCTCCCGAGGGAACGCAGGGACCGAGGGAGATACACATATTTCCCGCGGGATAAACACTCTATCCAAAACCGACCGTACATAACAGATGTATTTCATACCTACTGAGGTTCTAGGTACATCATACCTTATAAAGATCCAAAATTCCAAAACATACTTAAGGTACTAGGCGTTTTCTTGGTCTTAAAGTTTGCGAGATTTTCAAAAAAATTGAAAAAAGAAAAATTTAAAAAAACTGAAAAAGAAAAATTTAAAAGAAATTTCAAAAAAAAAATTACAATTAAATTTTTTTCAGGAGCGGGACCGGGATGGATACAGCGTGTATCCATCCCGGTCCCTAGATACACTATATATTCCCGCTCGTTATGTACCTAGAACCTCAGTAGGTATGAAATACATGTATATATTAATGGCGCCATTGATAGAGGATATCGTATGATTAATGAGTGATATGATTTCCATCTACCACAAATGGATGTGGTATTTACACAAATGAGTGTGGCGAGAAAGTGCGGACATCAATATCCATTAGTTGATACTATAGACGACTCGTTCACGTTTATTGACCATTTCAAATCGTAGGTTATTCTTCTTATCTAGAGGTAAATAGTTCTTTAAATGATTCAAATCAAAATTTCCGAATGACTGATGATTCTTTTTTGCCGAATCAAAGCTTTCAAACGACTGATCGGTTTTTTTTGGCCATTTCCAATGACTTATTGGGCTATTTTGCAGAATGAAAATTTTCAAACAACTGATCGGCCTATTTGGCAAATCAAAATTTTCAAAACGACCGATCGGCCTATTCTGTCGACCCAAAACTTCCAAACGACTGATCGGCCTCTTTTGCCAAATCAACATGTTCAAATACGACTGATCGGCCTGTTTGAGAGTGTTCATCTATTGATTTTTTATCATATCACAGAAATCTGACAAATTATTTTTGAACATTGTACATTGAACTAGCATCCGTTCTGCACCATATAATAAAGAAAAACGGGTGACTTGCACTTACATCATTAGGAACAATTGGTTTAATGTTTTATGTGCCTACGTAAAATATGTTTTATGTTCCCAATAGAAACTGTCCATTGTTCTGATATTGATATAAATGAGATTTTTGTTTATGTTCAGCACAGATTATCAGGTATTTCGTCATTGTACTTAGTCCATAAACTTATCAACTGTATTTACAATTGATTACCAAATGTAATTAACCAAACTACAATTATATACATCTTTACAGTTCAAAATCTTATATCATTTTTATTGAACGTCGATATATAATAGGTATAAGTGAATATTTATATAATATTATATTATATACAAATAAAGATATGATGTATAGATATAAATACTACGCCATCTTGGGACATTTTGTAACATTGCCCTCTACTTTGCAGAATGACATGAGAGACATCTTACGACGATGTCCCTGTATCAAAAGAAACGGCCATAATGCATTCGTATCAAGGACTAATTCTACACGTGCTTGGACATTCCAAAATGGCAGTGTGAGGTCGTCGATGAGATCATTACGAGGCTCACGGTCATCTACATCTGAAAAGTCGAGATCCCAGAGGGCATCCTACCGAGCTCCAGTCACAACGTTATTGAATGGAGCGACACATATGCCCCTTGACAGAAAATCGTTAGTAATTTTCTCATAAAATATACAAAATAAAAGTTGAGTTGTAAAGTTGAGTATTTTCTCAGTTAGTATTGCTTTAATAGTCCAACGCCTACTGGTATCAGTCATTGCTACTATTTTTGAGTATCAGAATAATATAAAGACATACGTAGGGTGATCATAAAGTTCTCATAACATCATCCTTATGTCTTTATATTTTAATAAAACTAATGAAATTTCGACAGAATGTGCAGCATATGATGTCTTATTACCCCAGCAAAAATATGTGAGTATTTAGTAAAACTAAAACGTTAGATAAGTAATGGTTGCCTTAGTAGCTGGAAATCAAGGCACTCTTTCCTAATTTTTCTGTTATACTAAATATTTTAGCTGGATTAAATAACATTCTATGTTGCACATTCTGGGAAAGTTTCATGAGAATATATTGCAAGATCTTAGAGAGATGCTATGAGAACTTTATTAATCACCCCTCGTATTCTGTTGAAGTTTCGAAGATGGCTGTCATGATGCCAGTAAATGAGAAATCAGCCTCAGTATCAATAAATAAATATTTAACTCCAGATTGCCATATCTATCGCTTGACTTGGATATATTTCAATGTACATCAACACACTTCATCAAAATAGCAACATGCTTTCAAAATTAATCAAAGTCTGGTTTGTCCGGATTAATTTGACGAGAAACAGGGTTGCCCTTATCTACTTAATTCCTGTCCTTTATACTTCCTCAAAATAACAAAGAACAGCGAACTAATATTTCCAATGGGTGCATTGACTCGTGTTTGTAATCAATTATGCATTGTTTCACCACACTTAATGATTGTATCGTAAGGGTAATCAGGAGTTGATGAATATAAACTAAGGTATAGAATCAAGTGTTAATATATCTTCATGATAGGCGAACGTTATTTTTCAAGCATTAGGTGCCATTCATTAATGGTTATCATGAACGGTACATTTAATTTGAATTAATGTCGCTTTGTCTTAGAAGTAATGTTAAGTATGCGTGTCTCCTAAGGTGTAATAAAACATATATGGAGGTCATTGTCTCTCTTGTGTGCCACTAACTGACCTGATTAACTGAAATAACAAATTCCTAGATTGAATCTAAGAACTTAAATCAATTATTGGAAGCTTGTCGCAATTTAGGACTCAGATGGGCAAATAAACTGCTATTATTTCAACACATGTTACACACCAAGGGATGAAAAGCCAAACAAATAATTACTTTGCAATGCATATTTCTTATTGACAATATAACAGACATGTATTCTTTGTTAATTATTGTTTTCTTGTTTTGCAATTCTATTACTCTAGGGGCGAGGAGGGAAATTCTCAATAAATGGAGTATAGTTGGTTTGGCAGCATTTTCAGTTAGGGGAGAGTCTTGGATGAAATTTCCACCTAGGTGATAGCTTCACAGAGTGGTAGGAAGTTCTTTTTTTTGAAGAGTTAGCCCCCTACCCCACAAAAACACCCCACCCCAGGGAAAAAAATTGTTCACACTAAATAACCTTAGATATTTTGATGTTTGTAAGTGACATACATAGATATTATATATATGAATCATTTGCAGTATAATTGATGCTGATTACTCCTAAAAAAATTGAATATTAGTACAAAGTGTGTACCCCAGGGGGCAAATTCGTGACCCATTTCCTTACTATTTTGATTCTCACTTTTCAACTAGACACTGTAAGAGGTTGAAAAAATTCATGTGAAGTGCCTAATAGCAGAGTTAGTAACCCTGAAAGATGCAAAGCCATGGAAGAGGTAGGAGCTGAGAAAAAAATTGTTGATTTTCGAAAAATTTGACATTTTTGACAGCTGGATTTTGTGTATGACTATAGCTGACCCCTATAGTTCCTGGATCCATCCCTCTATGATGATATATATGGTTTTATAGTGTGGAACTAAGATGTAAAACATAATAAAGATGGGTTTTAAGGAAGTTTAAGGTTTTAAACAAGTCCAAAATTTGAAAAATTGTAAATATAAGGTTTCAAATTTACGAATTCCAGGTAGAGCCATGGCAGACCCCTATAGTTTCTAGATCCACCCCTCTATGGTGATATATATGGTATTGCTGTATGGAACTAATATGTAAAACACAATTTAGATGGGTTTTAAGGAAGTTTAAGGTTTTAAACAAGTTCAAAATTTGAAAAATTGTAAATATAAGGTTTCAAATTTACGAATTTCAGGTATAGCCATGGCTGACCCTTATGGTTTTTACATCCATACCTCTATGATTAAATATACAGTTTTAGAGTGTGGGACTAAGATTTAGCATACCCAAAATGAATTTTAAAAAAGTTTAAGGTTTTAAACAAGTCAAAAATTTGAAGAATTGTAAATGTAAGTTTTCAAATTTATGAATTTCAGGTATAGCCAAAGATGACCCTTATGGTTTTTTTACATCTATACCTCAGTGATGAGATATATATTTTTAGAGTATTTAACTAAAATGTAAAAGATGCATAAGATGAGTTTGAAGGAAGTTCAAGGTTTTAAACAAGTGCAAAATTTGAAAAATTGATCTCGAAAATTGGTCTCAAATTCACGTTATTCAGGTACAGCCTTGAATGAGCCCTGATAATCGAAGGTTATGAGCATAATAGTAACAACTGTGATATCATAGCTTAGAGACCAGGTGTAGAATATATACCTGTTGCAGCAGTTAGTCTGTTGCATATAGATGGAGTGAAAAGTCATGAACTACAGTAAAATCTTTCTAATCTGAATGCTACTAGATATAGTATTTGGACCAGCTAAAAGCGTTCAAATTAGAAGTGTTTGAATTTTGAGGTTTTTACATCTGCAATATTCTGGATTTTGAAGAAATATGAATGCATTCTCAATGAAAAATATTAATAAATATCAATAATATTTATACTGACCACCCAAAAAGCTTAATAACATTCCAAAATCCAATTCAAAAGTTTTGATATCATAACAATTCAGTGTTAAACTGACAATATTTGAGCAATTTTGTAAGAAATATGTGATATTTGGTAAAATAAAGTTCAAGTTAAACAGGTTGATTTTTCAAATATGAGTGTTCACTGTTCGAATTAAGAGGTGTTCAGATTTCAATTTTTAAACATAGGAGTCAATGGGAGGAAGGAAAAATTGAACTGAGGAAAAGTGTTCAGATTGGTTGGTTTTCAGATAAGTCAGGTGTTGGGATGATTGGTAGGTGTTCACAATAGTCAGATGTTGGGATATACAGGTTTCACTGCTGATATATCATTTATACATCAAGATGATGAACTAGAACTACTGTACTAGGTGCCTTTGATAATTTTTACCACAATGTTATACTATGTCAGGAAAAGAAAGCACCCATGACACTGTGCTTGTACAACTTGAAAATCAACAACACTTTAACATTTGATAAAGGTGTCTACCAAATGAGTAATCCACATAAATTCAAATACAAGCACTTGGCATGCTATTTCCTATGATCATTAGTTTCATTAGTTTCTCTAGAATCTAAAATTGACCTTGGGTGTATGAGAGTAGTAAATTGGAATGCAGTTATATGGAATATTGAATTGGCTGGAATTGGACACACCTTGCCTAGAAATGTGTGAGTAAACTATGATCTTATATGGATACAAACAGTTCGTTTGACAATGATCATCTTAATTCTGTAAAATCAGAACTTAAAAAGGGGTTTGAAATGGAGATCGATGAAACCATACCACAAATTGATAAAACTTTCGTGATTGATGCAATGGCTATGACAAAGGGAAAATGAAGATTAACTTATATGTTGAAATTTGGAGAGTTTGGGAAAGCTATATTTGACTACTCCATCAAATCTAGTAAAGGAGCCCAAAGAATAGATTTCATATTAGACTCCTAGCTAGTTGTCTCCATCAGTAAAGGATTCTGAAAGAATGCGAAGAATGGATGCTTCCCCTATTGAACTTTAATCCATAGAAGAAATTACACAATAACCTAAAAATATCAATACCTTTGTCCAAGTAATATAAGACAAATTTTCAAAGATTACAAAGAAATTCAATAAAGCAGCATTCTAAAAGTGTGCCAAATGTCAAGATTGTTTTAAGTGGAACTATTGGAGAGAACTCAAATATCTGTGAAAATGATAATTAAATCTCCTGTTAAATTCCACTCCTGAAGAGGCTGATTTTAAAATTATTCACTCTGTTTTACATTCAGCAGAACATGTGGAACTGCAGTAATTTGCATCAACTTTGACACTGATATTATAACTTTATGACTATCATTTCAATAAATGAAAAAAATTCTTCAACTATGCTAGAAAATGTCATCTGCAAAGTCAGTATGTAAACATTTTCTACAATGTCTGTTTGTTTGAAACATATTGATCATATCACCAATACTTTTTTGATCTACATGAAGATTTTAATGTGACAATACCCTTTTACCCTAGAGTTCCTTATATCATTGCACTAACGGACGTTTCTAGGCCCGGGGGGGGGTATGATCCTTTTAATCCTTATTTTCCCAAATAATTACTGTTGCCTGATGACAAATTGTTTTATTGGGAGTGTAGTGATTATAATTTGATAATTCATAACAACATTTTGTATTAGGAGATGATCATTGCTTAATAACAGAAGGGGCATAACAAAATATAGAGAAAATATGTTTCTTTTAATTAACCATGTCTTTATGTATTTTGATAATGCAGAACATTACATCGAACATGTTGATGTGAAAAAGTAAAAATGCTATATCACATAATAAATATCATCAAATAATAATTAATTAGTTATAATCCATTTAATCAATCAATTACTACACTGTATACGATATCCCTAGGAGCAGTTACACTTACTGGGGGATTTATTAACCTCTCACCCCTTAGGAACTCAAGGGTTAAGTCCTCAACTCTAATGATTTTTCTTTTAACAATACATGTAACATGGATCAAACCTGACCACAATATTTTCAACATCTAATTTCTAAGCTAAGTCATACATTCAAAAAGAGGGACATCCAGGGCTATACCTGAAATCGTAAAGGAGGACTGGAAGTATCGCAACAGATTTCAGCAATCATATGTTGGATTTTGGCTATTTTCTGAGGATTTGAGGAGGTGCATATGTTAGGCCAATGCATTTCCTCCAGGAAAAGCACCCATAGAGATGATAAAATAATTTCTATTTTGAGACAGGGAAGGTGCAAACAACCCACCCACATGCATAAATATATATGTGTATATGTATAAATATATGTGTTTTTACATACAGTTAACCCCTTTAAATGAAAAATACATTCCATCAGGGATTTTAAAGATATCACATATGGGTGACCAAAATTAAGCTGAAAGCAATGGATCACATGAGTTTTCCCTATGGGAAAATAACAGGAAAATATTGTTTTCCACTTTATCTAAAAGAAATTTATCCTTTTAAAGGTCATCCTCCCAAGCAGGTATCCAGAATCCGTACCTCCTTCTTCCCCCTGCTATAACCAATTTGGAAGCGCCCGATTAAACTGAATCACGTGATCTAATTATGCGCAATGACTTATACATGATTTCTGTCGCAGTGTTGCGACAGCCAATCAGATTGCGAGTTATTAATCGGGGAAATGTTAACTGCTTATAGCAGGGTGTAAAAAGAAAGAATATATTCTGGATTTTGAAGCCCTGTGGTCGGAGGATGTTTAAAGGTTAACTATGTCTCAAAACGCAACATATTGATGCAACAAAAATTGAAAAACCAGGGGTGAAAGGGGTTGAAAATCAGGACGATATTTCCCAAAAAACATGTGGGTGGATTGTTTTCACCTTCGCTGTCTCAAATTCCAAACTATTTTGTCATCTCTAAGGGTTCTTTTCCCGTAGGTAATGCGATGGCCTATCATATGCACCTGCTTAAATCCTCAGAAAACAGACAAAATCCAACATATGACTGTCTGAAATCTGTTGCGATACTTTCCGTGCTCCTTTGAGACCTGATATTTCTCAATTTTTCAAATATTGCACTTGTTAAAATTCTTAAACTTCCTTAAAATTCATCTTCGGTATGTTTTACATCTTAGTTTCACACTCTAAAAGTATATGTTTCATCATAGAAGTATTGATAAAAAAGCCATAAGGGTCATCCATGGCTATACCTAAAATTCGTAAATTTGAAACCTTATATTTACAATTTTTCAAATTTTGGACTTGTTTTAAATCATTAACTTCCTTAAAACCCATCTAAATTATGTTTTACATCTTTAGTTCCATACTACAAAACCATAAATATCATCAAAGAGGGTTCGATCTAGAAACTATAGGGGTCAGCCATGGCTCTACCTGGAATTCGTAAATTTGAAACCTTACATTTACAATTTTTCGAATTTTGGACTTGTTTAAAACCTAAAACTTCCTTAAAACCCATCTAATTTATGTTTTACATCTTAGTTTCACACTATGAAAGCATAAATATCATCCAAGATGGATGGATCTATAAACTATAGGGGTCAGCCATGGCTATACCTGGAATTCGTAAATTTGAAACCTTATATTTACAATTTTTCAAATTTTGGACTTGTTTAAAACCTTTAACTTCCTTAAAACCCATCTAAATTATGTTTTACATCTTAGTTCCACACTATAAAACCATAAATATCATCATAGAGGGATGGATCTAGAAACTATAGGGGTCAGCTATAGTCATACACAAAATCCAGTTGTCAAAAATGTCAAATTTTTCGAAAAATCAACAATTTTTTTCTCAGGTCCTACTTCTTCCATGGCTTTGCATCTTTCAGGGTTACTAACCCTGCTATTGGGCACTTCACATGAATTTTTTCAACCTCTTACAGTGTCTAGTTGAAAAGTTAGAATCAAAACAGTAAGAAAATGAGTCACGAATTTGCCTCCTGGGGTACACACTTTGTACTGATATTCAAATTCTTTAGGAGTAATCAGCATCAATAATACTGCAAATTATTCATATATATAATAGCTATGTATGTCACTTACAAACATCAAAATATCTAAGGTTATTTAGTGTGAACAATTTTTTCCCCAGGGTGGGGTGTTTTTGGGGGTGGGGGGCTAACTCCTCAAAAAAAAGAACTTCCTACCACTCTGCGAAGCTATCACCTAGGTGGAAATTTCATCCAAGACTCTCCCCTAACTGAAAATACTGCCAAACCAACTATACACCATTTATTGAGAATTTTCCTCCTCGCCCCTTGAGTATCCTGCATGATATAATTTTACAATTGTACAATTCTTCTTGTACTGTAAATAATTTCCCTTATTCAGCTACTTCCACAGCTTTTACGCCGGACCTGTAAATATTTTCCCTTGATCAGCTTCTTTCACAGCTCGTTCGTTGTACCTGTAAATATTTTCCCTTATTCAGCTACTTCCACAGCTTTTACGTCGTACCCCTAAATATTTTACCTTATTCAGCTTCTTCCATAGCTCTTGCGTTGTACCTGTAATTATTTTGCCTTATTTAGCTTCTTTCACAGCTCTTTCGTTGTACCTGTAAATATTTTCCCATTATTCAGCTTCTTTCGCAGCTCTTTCGTTGTACCTGTAAATATTTTCCCTTTTTCAGCTTCTTCTACAGCTCTTAGGTTGTACCTGTTAATGTTTTCCCTTTTCAGCTTCTTCTACAGCTCTTACGTTGTACGTAGTGTGTACCTCATAGGCAAGAACAGCAGATTGTACCCCATACTCCAGTTCAAATGCTAGAAAAATATGATTTCATATTCATTTACATAATACCATGTTGAAATGAAATGAAATTGTAATTTTACAGATGCACACCTTTAATGCCTCTGCCGCTTTGGTATGATCTTTACTTAATATACATATGAATAAAATAAGATATGTTGATAAGAAAAACAGAAAGAAGACTTCATGCTCTTTTGGTTTCTTTTCAGGACGTCGTACAGCATTGACGATGATAACGATATGCTATGTTCTAACCTACAAACATTGGAACGTGGCGATCAAGTTGGAATTTCAGCCGTCTAACATTGAATCTAAGTAATCGAATGATATTCGATGTAATTAATGGATACGTTCTGGGCATACGGCCATCTCATATCAACAAAATTCAGACTATCTGGGATAAAAGAGATGATCGTGGATTTGAACAATTACAACTCTGAACAATTTTACAATGTCTTAGTTCTCAAATTACTCATCTTATTACCAATGAGACTATGGAGTACTTGGGATGATCGTTAGTGAAAAATAAATGGATTGCATAATTACGATTTTACAAAATGTATTAACAAAGAAGGGTTTAAAGGCTATGGGACGAGGTGTGTACAGATGTGCTTACACATGTGCTTACACATGTTAGAAGTGAATCAAATATCAAAGCAGATAGATAAGAAATAAATCAATGAATGCAAATGGTCAGATGAGAACCAATGAATGGAAGTGTATAAGAAATTATATCAATACAGTCTTGCAAATGGTCAGATAAGAACCAATGATTTGAAAGTGCATGAGAAATGATACCAATGCAGTGTTGCAAATGATCAGATGAGAACCAATGATTTGAAAGTGTATGAGAAATGATATCAATACAGTGTTGCAAATGAGCAGATGAGAACCAATGATTTGAAAGTGTATGAGAAATGATATCAATACAGTGTTGCAAATGATCAGATGAGAACCAACGATTTGAAAGTGTATGAGAAATGATATCAATACAGTCTTGCAAATGGTCAGATGAGAACCAATGATTTGAAAGTGTATGAGAAATGATATCAATAGAGTTGTTGCAAATGGTCAGATGAGAACCAATGGTATGAGTTATGGATAGATAATGCAGTGTTTCATCCTTTGTTGCTTGATAAATGTTTTTTTAGCGAATAATAGATTGAAAATACGATCTCCCACATATGATAAGATATGATATCTTTGTCTGTATATCAAATATATACTCACGTGATATCCGATCTATATCCTTTGTAACAATGGTATTATATTCCAAGTCAGGATATGATATTTTTCAATTATAGAAAATAATGTGTAAAGATATAAACACAACATGACACAACAGGTGAATGTAGAATTTCAAGCCAAACTGTTAATATTCTGACTGTCTATGATTGGATTTGATCGTTTATAATTGGAATAAATGAGAACATTTGGAAGCTACACAACACTTGCGTGATAAGTATGTTACTTTCAGTGAACACTGACAGAGAGATCAACTAAAATCCACAAGAATGGAAAGATAAAGCATGGGAATATGTGATATTTTGTTGGACGTACAAATAGATGGAAACTGAGAATGGATCGTCCATACATACAGTGCATACATATACATGTAGGGATCATATGTGGATTTGATTGAGGCATGGATACATGACATTGCATTAATGGATACATGGATTAAAAATAAGAAACAGCCTAGTCAATGTATATCAAGTGTAAGCCCGTAAGAGCTAACAAGAGATATTGATGAATGCTAGAATATGCGTCAAGAATAGATGCCACCTCTCTTCAGAGACAGGTTTGGGGAATTGTCAGAAAGGGACCAATGATCAGCACTGTCCAATGACAGGAGAAACTGAAAGCTAAGCCATTTTAAGACATGCATTTTCATTGACTTAATGTACACATAATATATTGACTATTCTACATGTAATGATTATGAATAATCTGTCTTTGTGTTGTGGAAAATGGATCAAACCATTTCATGTACAAGTAAAATTAATATTTGTCTCGCGTATCAAGGTTAGAAATGTAATGTTGTACAGATGGATACGATTGGAGAAGACAACCTATATTTTTTCAAGTATATCATAGCTTCAAGTATTTCATGTACATCTGATGTACTCTTGTTGTCAATAAATACCTTCCAAACATTATTTCAAACAGTTGTGGATAAATACTAGTTTTAAATTAGATTGGAGTAGCTCCCATATTTATTTGGTATTATTAAGTATAAGGGACTTCCCCTTAGCTTTTCCTACATGGTCCTCCAAGCCTTATATGGATCTATCACATGGCATTCAAACGGACGACAGTTAGTTGGATTCCTTTATGGTTATCAGAAGATTTCTATATAACCTTATATGGATACCACGTGACCCAATACCAACTCTTCTTAACTTTGGCAACTCCCCCTGGGATTGAAGTGAGATACTGGATACTGATTCCGTGTATCGTTGTTTGGAATGTTTTTGTTAGTTTCCTTATGATCTGTTACACTTTGCAATGTGTCCCTTTAGATACCTTTTTGTGACGTCTAGGTCGGGAAGATTCCCCATAGACCCAATGTAATAAGATCACAAAAGGTGAACATGTATCCACTAGAACTGACCCGAATTCCCCACCTGGTGGCAAAACTTGTAACTACCTACATACTTCTGGGTTTGGGACAATGTCATGCCCCCACTTGTAGATGCGAAGTCAAATATTTGCAGCGAAAGGTAAAATTTAATTAGAAAAATGGCCTTATTTGTGTGAGAAATACCGAGATGTAAATTCAAATCATTCTTTGTGTTGTTATTTACGTGATATGCGGAGCGGAAAATTGAAATTCTACTATCATTATTTTATTTAACTACATAAACAGTTCATAACAATACATCAACGTCATTGATTTAATTAATAAACTTGTTGACATATTCTCGGATTACGCATACAACTGTATCAATAAGGAAGATATTTCTACACCCGATTAATATTTACATACATATATGGCTCATATTCGTGATGAATAATTTGCCTGCAATATGGAACACTATCAGACTTGCCAACCTAAAATGAAAATTTTTCGGGAGATTTAAAAAAAATTGCGGTACTTTTACGGAAGGTAGTTTTTGCGGGAGTTTTTTGAAAAAAAGCGGGAGTTTTTACGGGAGATATTTGAAAAAAACTGTAGTTTTTATGGGAGATTTAAAAAAAACGGGAGTTTTTGCGGTAAATTTGAAAAAACGGGAGTTTTTACGGGAGATTTTGAAAAAACGGGAGTTCTTACGGGAGATTTTTAAAAAACGGGATTTTTTACGAAAGATTTTATAAAAAGGTATTTTTCGGGGTAAATTTTAAAAAACGTGACTTTTTTACGGAAGATTTCAGAAAAAACGGGAGTTTTTGCGGTAGGTTCTGAAAAAACGGGAGTTTTTACGGTAGGTTTTGAAAAAACGGGAGTTTTTGCGGTAGATTTTTAAAAAAAACGGGAGTTTTTTCGGTAGATTTCTGAAAAAATGGGAGTTTTTACGGTAGATTCTGAAAAAACGGAAGTTTTTACGGTAGATTTCTGAAAAAACGGGAGTTTTTACGGTAGATTTTGAAAAAACAGGAGTTTTTACGGTTGATTTCTGAAAAAACAGGAGTTTTTACTTTAGATTTTGAAAAAACTGGAGTTTTTACGGTAGATTTTGAAAGAACGGGAGTTTTTACGGTAGATTTCGGAAAAACGGGAGTTCATACGGTAGGTTTCTGACAAAACGGTTGTTTTTACGGTAGATTTTGAAAAAAACGTGAGTCTTTACGGTAGATTTATGAAAAAACGGGAGTTTTTACGGTAGATTTATGAAAAACGGGAATTTTTACTTTACTTTTACTTTTACAATCTGCGTGAGGTTCCATTTTTAGGTTCGGTTTTTCGCGCATGAGCATTAAATCCAGCGATTTAATTGGTTGAAATTATCATGACGCATGCGCAGTTAATAAATTAATTAGAACTTATAATCTCAGATAGATGTCACTTACGTTCATTATTTCACAGCAGTCCCCACCCATAATGCGCATTATATTGCGGGAATATTTTGTTTAGCGCCATATAAAAACAAAATGTATTCTCCCGCCAGAAGTATGACAGAATATGAACTGGCCCCCGTTTGTGGACATTTGGTGTGCAAACTTATACCGAACTGATCGCAGAAAAGCAATTTGAATCATGGGAATAAAGTACTTTTAAGTTATTTATGAAAGTATCGATAGTGAACCATGGGAGCCAATCCTTCTTGGAGTAAAAGAAAGAAGCGTGCCTGCAATAATCAAGGTCGCAAATTCGTCAAATTCCTTTTAAATACGGTAGATTTCGACAGCAAAAAAAAGGAGATTTTACGGGAGTTAAACCAAGAATACGGGAGATTTCACGGGAGTTATACCAGAAAACGGGAGATTTTACTGGAGTTATACCAGAATACGGGAGATTTTACGGGAGATTTCAGCAAAAATACGGGAGATTTTACGGCCATATTTTTTAAAAAAATTACGGGAGATTTTAGTAAAAATACGGTACGGGAGTTTACGGGAGTTTTTACGGGAGAAAACGGTACGGGAGTTTGGTATTTTTTACGGAAAAACAAAAAATTTACGGGAGATTCCCGTAAAAAAACGGGAGGTTGGCAAGTCTGACTATGCAAATATTTCATTCTATTGGGGTGAATACCTGTGCATATTTCACAAGCAGTATTCTATAAAGATCGGGTGACTTTGGGAATATTGAACTTGTGCACGATGCACAATTATTCACTAAAGTATTACTATTTTTGCAGCAAATGAAATCAAACAAATGTGTAGATTGACCTAATTAAATGTATTTAGTCAATAATAATTAAAATACTAATTCATTGATCACGTGATCAAACAATATTTACAACATCGCTTATTTTACTGTGTGGGTTAACCCTAATGTGCACAAGGTATTTTTCATTACACTAATGGACAGGGGGATCAGATGACCCCCCCCCCCCCCTTGGGTTTCAAAAGTTGAAGAGGTACAGTAAAAATTAAGTTACCATATTGTAGGTCATTCAAAACTCTCGAGGGGATATATGTAAATCTCAAAAAGGTAGATCAAATGGGGTCAAAAGTAGGTCAAAGTAACATAGCGGTGAGCCTTTTCGCTTTTTTCCCTTTTTCAGAAACAACATATTTTCAAAAACAACATATAATGTTTTTAGCCAGAAAATGGTACTAAATGTGATAGATGTATATAGTATCTACCTTTTTAGGAAAAAAACGTGGGTAAATACCTTTCCTAGATCCAGAGATAGGTAATTTGGTCGAAAATTTGACAAAATGAAATATCCAAAAATGGGGGATAGGAGACAAATCACAGCCCAGGACCTAATAAACTGAATAGATAATATCTTTTAATAATGTCATAGGACATACCCCTGGTTATAATATAGTGTAAAGATTTTGGATATTGGTTGTCATGAGTATTAGCTGAGAAAATTTGTTTTTAGTGCATCTGCCCTAGCGAAAACGCAATCTCACGTGTTGAAAATAAGTGTATTTGAGCCAAAAGTTCACTTCAAATACAATTCACTCTTACCCAATATTTTGATGCATAAACGTATATTCTCAAGTTTGTAAATTATATGTATATTAAGATGGAAAAATGACTAAAAATAGCCGAGAAACCAAAAAATCTTGGGGTAGGGAGGACAAAAACATTCTACAAAACAAATAAAGATATGGTTATATTGTTTTGCAGATATCTTACAAATATGTTCAGGACCTCCCAGAAAAAATGTCATAGATATATGATCATTAGTTTTTGAAAAAAAAATTTTTACTCAAATTATTTGGATCGAAACGCGAGTCGAGGACCATAATATAATATTGATAAGTTCGTATAAAATAAGTCAGTAAAAGTCAGATTACCTTGTTACATGGCTTGTTTGAAAGGGTATTTCCTATACTATATGGTCTATATCCAAAAGAAAGTAAAAAGAACCAGCTTATATTTTTATTCTATGAAACCATAGAGATGGTGTGATTTTCAAGCAATTTCTGAAAAAATTCCAACCATCCTAACTCAGCCAAAATGATCTTCCATCTGTAGCTATAGGTACTACGGTTATGAAAAAAAATCCGAAGAAAAAATCCGAAGAGGGAAGGGTCATCCGACCCAACCCCCAACCCCCCACCCCCATGAACACATTAGGGTTAACTCTATCATTGGTTATGTTGTAAGTGAGCATAGGTATACGTATTTAGTTTTTTGTTTGCATTAGTATCGTGTCAATGTTCATAGACTCATAATTAATGTTTTACTCTGATCCACTCTCTCGACTCGTAGAATATTGATATTAATGATGCAATATTTCGCCTATATTAAAGACGGAATGAGACTCATAATACACAGGGTGTGAAAAAATTGCAAGCAACGTGTACAATTGATCTACCGATCTGTTTTTTCGATCTAAAATACAGTATATGTCAAAAGATCCACAATATGTTATACATTGTGAGGTTTTTGAGGATTTAAAGTTCAAAAAATGAGGGGAAATGTTTTTCTCCCAGATAACAATATGGTAACCAACAAACATTATTGAAAAAATCTTTTAAAATCCTGAAAGAAAATGTACACTTTGGGGATTTTTAGAAAATAGACATGACAAGGAATGATATAAGCCAAAAATATTCTATATTTGATTTGAAGCATTCTCGTGGAAAGGAGATTGACATTTTGACGCTATACGTTGACGATGGTTAGGCGTGATAAGTGCGGGAACCTCAGAAAATGCTGATTACATCCAGAATGTATGGCTTTCTGTTGAATACGTTCATAATATCAAAAAAAATATCAAGCCATTTGTCAGTAGATGTACTATTTATGAAAAAGTACAACACCATACACCAATCCCGACAACATCGCTCATTTCTACCACAATGTACAAAAATAGCAGTCCATGGCGGGACATCTCTGCATTAGCTTTAAAGTTAAGGAATAATATTACTGTCAATTGCCTCTAAATTTGAATGCATTCTTTAAGAAATGTCAATGTTTCAGATTGCAGTAAAACATGGAAGTTTAACATAAAAGATTTATTTGAATTGAAAAATCGATTTGAATCAATGCATTATCCAGAAATATTTGAGACATTTCAGAAAGTAGGCGTGAGAGGATGTGAGCAATCAATGTTACAATGGTTTAGAAAATGCTATTAACATGTATCTTAATGCTGCACCATAATCAGGAATTGATAGTAGATTCTGCAACGGTACTGTTCCTTGCACTATCGATATCAAACACTCTATTTGAACGTTCATTTAACGACCATGCATCGTGTGGCAAGCATCTAGTGAATGTGACCCGAAACGCTCGTCTGAAATTCTCATTCATCGCACCAAATATCAATGGGTCAACTGCCCCATTCGCAAATGCCAAAGTGTTGACTGCAAATATGAACGGCGAAAGCTTTTGTACCTGAAATCAATGTAAAGAACAGTCATGTATGTATTTTAATGTAACAATTTGTAATAGCATGATTATTGGGTGAGATATGAGATATGAGATCATATGATAATGACGGAAACCAGATTTTCTGCATGAAATGGAAAAGAAAGAAAATTATCTTATTTTACCCCTGCCCATTTTGCACTATTCTCGTACAATTTGGCAGACAGTCATTCGTTTAATATATTGGCGATTCATAGCATGTATCAGTGCTTACCTTCTGATCGTCAATTACACTGTTGAAGACGTTGATTAGACATAGAATCTGATATGGTAGCCAACATAGAACGAACATCCCAAGAACTGCTATCAACATTCGCACCATCTATAATACGATTCACTATAGTGAATAATCCACATATTTTTGATGTTTTGAGTATTGGCTATCACTTTTCTCATTTTTCCTTCAATACGTATCATAATGACTTCAGTATGATTGAAATGTTCATTGGTGTTCTGGTCTTGGATTGTGATATTGGTTCTTGAATGGTGGGGGAAGGGGTGTATTAGACATTGTTTATTTTCACGTTAGATCATGGTATTGGGATACATGGGTTTTGTTTTTCTTATGACTGATATACACTTAGAGCTTGCTTTTTCTTGCTAGGTTTAATTACAACTTTAGTCCCTGCTTCCCTTTGCCGCTTGTGCTTAGATAATTATGGTGACGACACATATGCATATCTTCACATCGTTTCATATTTTAATAAATTGAATTGAATTGAAATTGAATTGAATTTTGTCAGTTAAATGTACATAAGCTTACCTTTTTCCTTGCATTGGTTTGTATTAAGGATTGTCTTGAAAGCATTGACGTTGGCCCTAACTGATCCGTTGTAAGCTTATGAACCATGACACCATATAGCACTGACATCGAGACCATTGGGACCCAGGCAAAAACGACAATCACAAAACTCCAGTAAAACTTTTTAGACAAGGGAACAATGAATGATTCACAGGAGGGCCACCTGTCTTCACATATGCGCTCTGTATAGTCCTTCCATTGGATCTCGTAGTACGTGAAAACTACCAGCAACGGGCTTGCTATAATAACTGCCATCGTCCAAATTGACGTGATGAGTACTAACGCCTTTCTCTTGTGTTTTGTTATGCGGGGCTTAAGTGGAAGAACAATAGCGAAGAATCTGTCGACGGATATTACAGAGAGTGTGAACACGCTGGCACACATCCCGGACACTGAAAATTGACAACATGATAGTATGCTTGAATTAAGACCAAAAAAAGTTGGTCCATTAATTTTATTAGATCTGATCTGAACACAACACAATTTATCGGGAATCGAGGAATTAAAAACAAGCATTGTAATTATACTAAATGGGTGAAATGGTGACAGTTACATGATCATACTGATTATTTACAATATTGGGCAACGGTTTTACTTATTTGGAGAACATATTTCGAACACCAGAGACATAGAGACTTACTTTGTATAAATATATTAAATTTGCAGCCAAACGTTCCAAGAACCCAACCATCGGTGAGGTCCTCCACAGGCTTAATCCACATGGCAAGACTGGCCACCAACAAATCAGCGAGGGCGAGGTTGATGATATAATAGTTAGCTGCAGTTCGGAGGAACTTATGAATGAAAAACATACTGATGATAATACCGTTCCCGCCTATGGCAAAAATGCCTATAATCGCGTAGATGGTTACAACGACTACAGTCTGCCATATGGGAACTACTAAAACCTCTCCAGGGTAGTCTACAGATGAGACGTCCAAATCGTCCAATTTTCTGCAAGTTTGTGTAGAATTAGCATCAGCATGAATGGATTCATCATCTGAGATAAATTCGTTTTCGGAGTAGATTTCCCTATCACGTAAGGTGATGTTGCCTACACTCAAAATATACACCAACATCCTCACTAATTGTCCATTAATTCTAAATTGTCCAACGGAATGATCGTCTGATAAACGAGGAAATAGTTGTCTTGACATTTCGTATCGTTGGCAATATATCTACTTCAGTCCTGTAATCGCAGTTGCTAGCTTACCAAGAACAATGGTTCTACTAATCAAGATTATTAATTAATTCGATAAATTATAAAACACTTAAATTGATTTATGATTTTTAGACAAAACATCGGCGGTCTTGCTAACCTTTTGATGTTTCTTAACACCTTCTAGCATTTTTTCACCACACTGTGCCCTGGGTCATTCACGTAAGAAGTACAATAGAATGGAGGTAAGACCTTTTGTAATCTGACATTTTGTTTTGATTCTAGTAAGAGACCGTTTGATGTCTCTTTGAGAGCAAAGATTAACACAACAGTATAAGAACAATTCCAATAAGAAAACTTGTATGAAATTGTTCTATTAAAACTTCATTACGTTTGAGTGATATACGTAATTGGGCTTTTACGTTGGCCAGCATGGTATTTACATAATGATAAGGACCCTTCGTTTTTGTTGATTTACATCTCATAATTGCTCGAAGATGACGAACATTCACTGACAATTATAAAATACTTTTCATCGAAATTTTTTATGTTTTGTATTTTACAGATGATTTCAGACCATATAACACATTCGGAGAATACAGATGACTAGTGAAAACAAAATGGAAAGCTATTGTAAATTCGCTAATTGATAAACATTAATAATTTGAGGACACAGCATAAGGGGAAGCTAAAAGTGAAACTTAGTATGGCATCATTGTTATCGTCGACATCACAGACTTTACTAATAGCACTTTACGCTTTGTTCTTCACGCTTTCTATCGTCGGTAACATCACAGTTCTCGTCGTTTGCATCAAGGCTCGTACTCTTCGGAATAGTACAATGAGTTGCTTCATCGTATCACTGGCAGTTGGTGACCTCCTAATAACGTGCTTTTGTATGCCTATAAATCTTGCGAGTGCCTTGACAACATTTTGGACGTTCGGGGCGTTTGCCTGTAAGATGGTTCCATTCGTTCAGAATGTCGGTGTTGCATCCAGTTTGATGACTATGTCCGTGGTTGCATTGGATCGCTACCATGCTGTCGTCCACCCCCTAAAGACTAAGTTCTACAATACTATGAAACGAGCAATTATTGTCCTGTCAGTAGTTTGGTTATTTTCAATCTGTGTCAGCCTACCTAACGCAATTTGTTACTCTCAGAGGACATTTTCAATGAACGTGACGAACACTACTGAACGTATAGAAGACGTCACTTATGTATCCCCTACGAAGATACTTATAAACGTGTGTCTTTGGGACGAAGAAAAGATGCACTTGGAAGCGATGTTCTGGATCTATTTGATAGGATTGTTCGCGCAGCCTTTGACTCTGATGTCAGTTGCGTACATTGGAATAGCGCATAGTTTGTGGATTCGATCCCCTGTTTTGGATATGGGCCCTAATATAAACCCCATTGCGAGTGAACATAGATTGAGGCAGAAGAAACGTATAGTTCTGATGATGATACTCGTTGTTATATTTTTTGTTGTATGCTGGCTGCCAATAATGCTCTTTAATTTGATATCACTTAAAATAGGACTTAAACTGAATACAAAGTGGTTGACAGTAAGGCATTTTCTACAGTGTCTTTCGATGATGAGCACATGTGTGAACCCTATTATATACACTTTCTTACATGATAGGTTCAGAAAAAGTTTTGTTGCCGTCGCAAAATGCCGATCGGAGCGAATTGCGCCATCTGTTACAAAGTCGAACGATACAAGTAATAGAATCGAGAGGAGGGGTGTTGAAAGGAGGGCTACGATACCCGGTGTTTCCGCGCTGCAGCCGCGCCCAAATGACCATGACATTATAGCTCTAACTAAAACACGTAGAATAAACTCAAATGAGTAATTTGAACCAACTGAGTCTCCGAATTGACAATGAAAGTTTAAAGGAGAGGGGCATGTTTAGTTGCCGAAAATGTTTTTACTTCATTTAGAGAAGTAAGTTAGTTGGGGGCCTAAAAATTACACCACCCCTCTCCACGTAAACTTTGCAACAACGGAAGAAACATAGATAGATGTATCACCTTCTGAAAACAAGCCTAACATTTTGTATTTACTTGTAGTTACACATAGATATTTAACTGACGTTCCAGAGCGTTATTTTTTTAATTTGGCTTAATCTTTGATAGACATCAAATTTCAAAATTATTAAGGGACAATTTTTTACAGGTTTCCAACAAGAGTGTACGCAGTGGAATAGACATTAAACTAGAACCATGCGTAGGCAGAATTATCAATAAAAATTTTAGGTATTGTGGCATATATAAAATACCAGTCATTATGATATATCCGGTTGGATTGTATTATTTATCCCATACTTGGACGTGTTACAGGTACATAAAGCCAGTTTGTAAAAACTTATATTTTCATCAGCGGGCAGATATAGCTTTACGTCCCGCTCCGAGCGGGCAGATATAGTATATCTGCCCGCTACGTCATAATCGTCGCTCGCATATTTGTTCATAATTTGCAACGTTCGCGTAATGACTGTAAACGACACAGATAATCGGGATCTGTTTGATAGCAAGGAGCATCCACTTAATCAATCAAAAATTCGAGAAAATAAATATGGGAATATTTGAGAGAACAGGAAAATCCACCCACGGCCAAGAAAACAAAACTGGACATGAATACTCTAAAATATTTCCACGGTTGAACAATGTGAACCAGATGACCAAGGTTGGTATGGGATAAACATAATATCCTATAGTTGGTTCAGGATATTGGGATTATCCCTTGGCCAATATAACATATTTTCCCTCGGGACCTGCGGCCCTCGGGCAGTAATATTTTTGCCTCGGGATAATCCCAATATCCTGAACCTCATATAGGATAATCTCTATTTATTTTGGATACATTACATACCTCAATTTAATGAGCTATACATATACATAGGGAAAATGGAGGTGTTGATCTTAATTTTGTTTTTCCGAAGCATATTATTGATGCAATCAGTCAAGATTCCAAAGATGTGATTGAATGGGGGGACAATGAAGAAGACGGGTGATTTGGTTACAAAAGAAGGTGGGTAAATTGCAATGCAGTAGATATAAATTGTGGTCTTAAAGATGTTCAGGTGTAATTGAATACAAAAATTGAGCCCGATTTCCCAAGGTAGCATTCGCAAATTCAACTGACGGCTAATGGTTTCATGACCAACTCATTTTAATATGAATAGAGCATGTCACTAAACCATTCATATTTAAATGAGTTGGCCATGAAATAGTAGGTTAATCCGTCAGCTGACAGCCGGCAGATGAATTTTCGAATGCTACCTTAATCTCTAAAGTTTTGAATGTTCAAAATAAGCGTAAGGTTAAGTGTTCACAACAAAGGGTCATGTTCAAAACAACATTTAACTAAAACAGTAGCATGGCTGAGAAGTGAAAAACTGTTAATTTTTTGCAATGCATTTATGGTACACAGTGTATACATGTAAGCTGGGTGTCCAGATGTACATGTTATTTTTTGACCAATCACAGAAGTAGATTATTATGATTTCAAGATCATTATCCGAGGCAGTAATGGATCTTAAAAACGCAGTAGAAACGTTGATGCATAAGTCAGTACGCTTCGGCAAAGGCAATCCTGCAATGGTGAAGACAAGAGAGAGGGTACGGAATGTTCAGAAGAATATCGCAATTGAATATAGATTGCACTAGCTCATTTATAATTTTTTGGGGGCGGGTTGTCTTCATTTTTTCACACATGCATGACACAAAGAGAGAAAATATGCTGATGCGAAAGGCTAGTGTAACATCATCTTGTGAAAGGGACTCACATGTATCACCGAAAATAGAATTAAACATTTGTTATATTATTTACTGTTTTATTCCTCAATAACATTAATGGAATAACAAACTATTGATATTCAACGGAATATTTTTACGAACAAACACACACACAAACACAAACACATTAACTTTATTAAATTATTTCAGCACCAATCAGCTATGATCCAGCTATGTACAAAATACAACCATTCAAAAGAAGGCCTACAAAAAAGTTTGGTCCTGAGATTGTAGAAGAAACTGGACGAAAATTGACAGTCGCTAGTAAGGATGAATGCGCAAAGGAGTGTTCTAGATTCTTTACATGCGAATATCAAAATACTAATGTAAATAATTTACGGTGTACATCATAAAACATCATTTACTTTTTTAGTGTTACCCCTCGTGTTTTCTGAAAATTCACTTGACAAAGCTTTCGACACTATTACATATTATGAGAATGAATTTAGATAATACCTACAGACTTTAAAAATATCTACAGATATACCATGAATATGAAACATAACAAAATTCAAACGTATATCAGTCTCGTAATGTATTTATTTCAATATAAATAACGTACATTGTTTATGAAGATAGTGTGCTAACGGAACAAGAAAATAATGAAATCAGTTAAAATGAGTGTTATGGCAATCATCACATGAACAAGACAAATGAATTGACATACTAAATGTCACTACCTGCCATTTGTTACAGACGCCGAACACCAAAAAGACCACCACCGCCACAAAAAGAGTTAGAGAGTAAAGCAATATGTCACAACTTTTGATGGTGACAAAATACGAATAGTAGAAATTCTGTAATCTGAAACACTACTAGTTATTGTACGACTTTCCATTTCTTTACCAAATATTCATATTAATAATTAAAATATGTCGGTGTTTCGTATTGATGAAATACAAATGTCATATATAAATTAAATAAACAAGTAGCCAGGGAAACCTTAGACATCAAGTCTAACACTTGTAAATGTATATTAAATAACTTTTTTGACTTTTCTGTGATAAATGATGGAAAATTAAACACCTTAGACGCCGAAACAACAGTGAGTTTAAGTATTTCCTGTTTGCCACATGAACAATGGCGAAATGAATATAATATCAAATATGATTTCAGTCAGTAGCAAGGATATGAAGCATCAGTCAAAACTAACAGCTCCCTTGTCACCTCTATGACATCAAAAACCAGTGCTGACATAGAATGAACAACTAAACACAACGAAATAATGGGGTGCAGTTTACAGGTACAAGTGCAAAAGTCTTAGTGTTTAAAGTTGTCGGTATTAATTTAATTTTCAAAGTACCATCATCTTGGGAACAACGTGCTTAGATTTATGTGTGAAAATATGTAGAATCTGTGCCAGAATCTGTGTACAAGGAAAACACTTAGTGGGCTAATTGATCCCCTCGACTACATTAGGACAATTTATCCAATAACAATCAATTGGCATTACTACGAGATCTGAAGGAACTAGTCTAAACATTGACGTCTTTTTTCACATTTCTTCAATTACTAAGGCAAATCATAGACAGGGTAGTCGTAATCTTTACATTTGATTATGATTGCTTCTCCACCATCTGAGTCTGGGTTGTCACATGTCAGTTTTTGTCTTTGGGGATCGCTACACTCACATCTTGATTTGGCTCTTTTCTTAGCTGTTTCGAGGTCATCGTCATCATCCACATATCGGCCGAAAGTGTTACCAGTTACGATAGACGCACCGGGAATTTGGAAAGAAATGAGGGGTTCTCGCTCATTGGTAGGGGAAGGAGAATCAACTTTGTACTGTCTTAAATCAACAGCGATGTCATTTTCGTCGACACTACATTGAGTTCCTTCCACGGAAATTTCTATTACTGTTTCATCAACCCCCGGTTTTGATAGTGTTAAAATTGGGCCGCTGCCTTTATATTCAACACAGACTGACTGACTAGACGTAACATCTTCACGGATACCAAATAGTTTGCCCTTCGTATCTTCATGCTCCCCACCCTTGCTCATTACACGGACTCTAGATTCATCGTCGGTATCTTGGCCGTTTCTTTTAACCAGTACACGAACTTTGATAAACCAAGCCCAGAAAGCAATGGTCGTTTGGGGAAACCATGCTAAGGGGGTTAATGGTGGATTACCACCCAAACACGACATAGCCATATCACAGACAGAATATTCAAATAATGTACTGGGATTTCTGTAAAAACTGTAGTGAGGGTCTGAATCACTTGCCTTGAGACATTGAGAATAGGCAGTCATGCTAGGTATTGGATTATAACAATATGGGTCACAGAGAAAACACTCTGCCCCCATATAATTATTGATTTCACAATCCGTACAAAATTTTAAACTGGCATCCTTACAATCTGGAGCAGTATTACTATGATACAAAGGGCCATTTGACACGAGTGGTTCTACATCTGTTTCAATGACTCTAGATCTTGTTGCAGTTGTGACATCATCTAACTGTTTCACATTTATGTTTACACCGGCGATCGTTGGATCTGCCGCGCCTAATTTTGATGATGCACTGAGTGCAACATTGTCACTTTTAAGAAATAAATATGCTTGGAACTTAGACTCACCACAAACAGTGAGGATACAGTCGTCTTTTGAACCAAATCCGGACCCGGTTTGACTCATACTACCAGTGAGAACCCGTCCATTAGGTGGAGTTACAGACGACGCTGGTGTAAGTACTGAAGGCTCAAAGGTTTCTGACCATGGCAACAGTGTACTTAAAGAAGAATCGGTATAGGCCTTGATTCTGACATAGCAGAAATTCAAACTATCATCATCAAAATTGAACCAATATCGATCTGTTATTACGGTTTTGCCAACAAAGAAATCACTGGTTGCTAAAGTTTGAGCTCGTTTTCGTCTTGATGCTGAGACCCGTTCCAACGATCCTTCATATTCCCATCTAGCAGATGACGGGTTGAGAGACCATAGCTTTACATTAGTTGTGTTCTTAAACTCAGCGCCAATAACATCAGCACGTATGGCCATACCAACATCTGCTTTTAACTCAAGTTCTTCCCCATTCTCACCATTGAATCCAAGATGGAACATACCAAAGGTTTTAAGTAAACCAACCTCGCCGTTATCATTAACAAATGTCAAGTCACCTACCATTGAATTGAAACTGTCAATATTCGAAGGATCGATAAAGTTAACAGTTACTTTAACTTCATCAGTATAAAGATTACCATCTGAGTCATAGAACGAATCACCTGGAATGATAACCTCTGCGGTTGAACTTTCG